GGCTTTTATGTTTGTTTTCCATTTCAGCTTTGTCCGTGTGACCCAGGTTCTCGCTCTGGCATCCAAGTCAACGTATATTGGTCGTGACGGAAAAAGGGGATGGATCCCTTTTTTGTCGGGGAGTGTCAATGCAGTTGAAGACTGAACGACCAATTCATGGTTGTTTGCTCAAACACAACTTCCCCATCCTTCTCGCGGAGTCAACAATCCATCAGTCATCATCTTATTGGTCGCTGCTTAGAAGGAAGATTAAAAAGCCATCAGAAGTAATATCGTGATTTATTATTATAACATTTGTTCTTAGACCTCTGTAATAACAGTATTGTTGGTTATATGCTGGCGTTAGAATAAAGGATTCTTGAGTCCCGAAAACCAGACTACAGATTGACGACTCGAGAATCCTTCGTTCTTACGCCAATATGTAACCAACAATAAGGTTATTATACACAATGTCTAAGAATAAATGTTATAACAAAAAAAGGAGAATAAACACTGCGGTTATCGCATATTGTTTACTTAAATTATCATTATCTGCTGGCTGCTTCTGTTTTCTTCACTTCTCGAAGGTATTGCACTGAAGCACTGCTAATGAACAGTAATCCTGCTTTCTACATTTGTATTACTTGAGCGGTATCCAGAATATTGTTAGCACTTACGATGAACAACGGAACAAATTCCATTCTGAATTCTGTTCAACATCGCAAAGTTAACTTTGCGACCAATTTGTCCCTTCTATCTGCTAATACCAATATAATGCTGTACTTACCATTTGATGTGGATTTTTATAAACTTTCGAACTCTTATTGATTGATAAAATGATAAAAATAACGGTCTGGATCCAGTGTGGCTTACTCCAGCACATGTACATCACCTCTCTTCTTACATTCCATCAACGCAAAATTTCATAATTCCCGCATGAATCTGACTCACTATGAGTGCATTAAATATTATAATTTAGAATTAAACCAAGACCTTATATTCTATTCTTGTAAAGTTTTCTATTCATTTTCCAAATTTTCATTTCATAAAAGTGTTCAATTTCAGACTGCACTTGTCAAATATGATCATGCCTGTACAAACGGTATGTGAATCATGTAAATGCTTAATTTATGTGAAATATATATATATAACAAATCACAGTAATACTTCTGATAGTTTTTTCTCTATCTTCCAACGAACAGGAAACGATGAGATGATAACTGCAGTATCGATGGCTCCTGCGAAAATTATGGAGGATATGGGTTTGGGCAAACAATCATGAATTGATTGTTCAATCTTCAACTACATTGACGGCGTTGGTAGGTAACATTCTCATGGCCTTGGCTAGTTGTTACATCCTGCGGCCTGAGGGACAGATAAAAATAAGTGCACGTATATTTTACGCCGGACGAAATAACAAAACAACCATGTAGTTTTCCTAATTAAGCATTTAAACCAACATTTATGTCCAAACATTTGCATCTGGTCATTGTAAGTTTGATTTTACAAATGAATAATAACCAAACGTTGATATGATGCTGGCACTCATAAGGCCATACAGTGTATACTGACTAAAATGTATACCTCAATAAATTGGCCTTGAACACTTAAAACGAAATTGTTCGCCCCAAATTAGGCACATATGTAGAGGAGTACCGTCATGAGGCTTATTATTAAAACCCAGGACCTTCAGAAGACCAAAGAAAAAAGTTAATTCAGTTGTTAATGATGATACTTGATATTTTCATGTAAACAAGCACATTTAAACGAAATGCATGCCATTTTTACAGGCTTGATCAGGCATGATTTAATTTATATTTAATTTATTATATATATTTAATTTATAATAATAAATTAGTACCGTTTCACTAGTTCAGTCGGTTGAACTGTAAAGTGAGTGACAAGAACAGTTCCGCATAAATGTTGATTTGTCAACCGGTAAGTTCAGCGTTTGTATTTTATTTTAGCTTCATTCTCTATATATTTCTATTTTTTCTGTGAGACTCGCACAAGTGTTTCTGTAGTTCCATAATTGTGACCAATAACTCTTTCATTAATTAGTTATGGTTAATCATATAAAAAAGCCACAAACTCAGTCACCTGTTAACCTGATGACTGATAGCACATATATGTTTACAACAACAAGCAACACAACTATCACAAAATATGGAAGTGAGACGCACAGCTTGCCAACATGCCGCAAGCGTCGAGCTGCTGTGTCACTACCATCTACCGTGGCTGGAATTGACGAAAATATGCAAACAACTAGTGGTAGCATCGCTTCTGCAAACTCAGCACCTGGTCCTGACGTAGATCTCTTTACTTCACTTTATGAACGTTTCACAGAACTTCAGATATCAAGTCCAGCTTCAACAATTACCTCAGAAGTAGAACGAATAAAGCTGTCTGTAGGACAGCCGAAGAGTGAGATGCGAGATATTTCAGATGTAGTAAGGCTATGAATGTAGGAAGTTCAAAACGTATGGCCAGCATATCTGAAATGTCAACACAGTTAAGTCACATAAAATCGCAGGTCTGTGAAGTTACACCTCTGAACAAACTGACTACAACCATGAACCCTGGTGAACTTGACACAGAATTAGTAACTAAGGTAGACACCTTGGTAAACTTCGTCAGAACTGAGGTTGTCAAAAGACTGGGTACTAAACTAAGTGTGATAATGTATAATATATCGGATAATGAGGGGTTGAAAAGGGCTAAAAGTATCTCGCTTAGGGCGGTGAAAATGTTTAACTCCCAAACAAAGTGTCACAGACTGGAAAAGAGTTAGCACGACTAATGCTGCCCTATATGCCTTCAGTTTGAGACACAGACAGATTGTAAGACGTCCACCAATTCACAAAGTATTCTAGCACAGGGCACGAGCCACAAACACATAAAAGTTGTAGTGTATGTGTTGCGGTTGGACGCAGAGGAAGTTGGTGGGTTAGCGAGAGCGGAGGGTTATGGTTCTTCCATGTATGCCGCTTTGCGTCTGTCTAGTATAACTGTGTCATGGTGGCCTAATCGATCGATAACTCAGAAATTTTCTTTCCCATTGATAACCTTGAAATGTCCATCATAGGGCGGTTTATGTAGTGTTGCAACGTACGGCAACATGGGTGCAGTCTTGAAGTCTAAAGTCTAGTTTCACTTTCTTGTACTTAATGTGTGTGGGAGTTGGTCAAAGTTGTATGATGCGTTTTGTGTGCTGGGTGCAACAGTGAGCATCAGCAACACCTGGCTCATCACTGTCTAACGAAGTGACCTCGTCATGCAAATACGTGTATCACAGTTTATACCAGGCCACACAAATCTGGCCGATATCGATTTGTCTGTTGCGTGTATTCCTGTGTATGAAAGGTTGTGGAGACGGTGAAATACAGTGCAGCGTAATGACAAGGCTACAATGGGACGAGAAGTACCTGTAGATATATCACACAATATAACTGCTTCACTACTAACAGGAGAAATACGTTCTAACCTCAGAGAGGTTTCTTGTGAAAAAGTTTCCAAGTCTAAATCCTTGAGCTGAGGTTCAGCCATTTTTTAACTTCAATGGCTGGTGGCACTCACACGGTGCATATTCGAGATAAAGTGTCTGCCACTGGGTTGTCAGCCCCAGAAACGTGTTGAGTGTGAGAAGTCAACTGCGAGATATAGCCCAAGTAACGCAATCCACGTGGCGAGTAACAATCTGTCGTGGTGCGAGGGGCATACATTACAGGTTTGTAGTCAATTAATAGGGTAAATTGCTGACCTTTGACGGAGTTTCGAAAATGTTTGATAGAAGCATCAATGGACAGGAGTCCTCCACCAAAAGCGCCATAGTCTGTTTCTCATGCGGACAAGTGTTGAGAGAAGAATGCGACAGGTATCCACGAGGCATGCATCTGTTGTTGAAGTACAGCTCCAATGGCTGTGTTGGATTCTTCAATGGAGGTGCTGGTCGGAAGATGGGCATCCAGATGTACTGACATCGTGGCATCTGTAATAGCCGTCTTAATAGTCTTAAACGCGTCTAGAGCTTCTGGAGTGAACTCTTAAGATTTACAGTTCCTTTTTAGGGGATTAGACGGCGGAGTCAAAACATGAAAACGCTGGGGAATAAAACGACAATAGTAACTCACCATACCAAGAAATGTGCGCGAATGCTTTATGGATGATGGTTTGGGGAAGCGATGAGTGGCCTGCACCCTTTTGGGCTACGGTCGCATTTCATCTCTATCGACCACATAATAATAATAATAATAATAATAGTATATTCTCATTTTGTACATGAGAGACGCCAGTTTACAGGCATCATCAATATGATAAATTACATATACGATTAGCAATCATAATTAATAATAATGTTTTAATAAAGTACACATTTTTTCCTACTTGTGTAGGACACACCAAATATACAGGCATGGATAAGCATAAATTAAATTTCATAAATTCGGTTTATGGTTAAGTTACATGGTTGCTGGCGTTTTTGTTTTAATAATAATTATAATAATGTATATTCTCATATAAACATATAAATTTACATGAAAATGCATGCCATTTTTTTAGGTCTGTGGGAACAATATGATAACCAGTCATTCAATGGAGCACATCATGAAATATAGGAATATTGACTTCGCATTAACAAAAAAACCCAAGTAAGTTTCGGATGGATTAAAAATACTTGGGAAAAAATAAAGCTTGAAGTTATTCCACAATATAACAAGTCATTCAATGGAGCACATCATGAAATATAGGAATGTTGTCTTCGCATTAACAAAAAAACCCAAGTAAGTTTTGGATGGATTAAAAATACTTGGGAAAAAATAAAGCTTGAAGTAATTCCTCAATATAACCTGGGTGTGTACAAATCCGAATCTCATTTTTGATTTGATTTATATCCAAATTGGGTAATAAGGAAGCTATTTTTACAGATACGATCAGTTATGTTATAAGCTACAATCGTGAAGTTGTATTACAAATTGATACTTTTCCATTGGTATAAGAGTATATTCCACAAATGTAATCCAGGTTGCGTCGTGGAGAAAGTTAATTCGTTATTAACCAGGCAACTGAAAGATACGGGACCAATAATGTTTGCAGATCATTTGTCATTGTAAATGGTCAAATATCCACATTATTCATTCTCATTCAAAAAGTCAAATGGAAGCTGAAATGGTGAGAGAAAAAAGAAGACAAACAACAGCAACGCAAAAGAAAGCAACGGGAGTCCTTAAGGAGTGATTAATAAATATATACATATATATTCTGTTTAGTAACTGTGGTTATTTTGGTACACAAACTAACTAGTCCCGTTATGCTAACTTTTATATTATGTGTGAACTAATATTACTGTCCTGTGTAGAAATGTTAATCATCTAGTTCCAATAATATTAAAATTTATAATTGTAGTTTGCTGTAACTACACGTTTAAACAACTTAAAATATCTATGTAGGGTGAAAAAGAGGGTGTAAGAGTCAGACGTATAAGTGCATTGTCATCTTTGAGCAGTCTGGTGACTGAGGAGATGAACACTGGAAGTGTGTTTGCATCGCGCACATTAGCTGGTAGTCTATTCCAAATGACTGAAAACTTATTTAAGAAGAAGTTGTACCGCACGTAAGTCTGACAGTGCTCTATAGCAGCTAGGTTGTGATGATTTCTAAGATTGTAACTGACGACAGCGGTAGGTTTAGTTATTGGCTCGGAGGAATGCAAGAGAAGATTAGTTAGCTTATAGTAAAAGATTAGGTTTAGCTTAAGGCGTCTTTTCCAGAGGGGTTCTAATCTTAGTCTTACGCATCTCTCATGGTATTCCAGACTACTTTCTAAACCAAGAGTTCTTGAGGTAAACTGCCGTTGCACTCCCTCTAATTTAAGCTTGTCATTTTGTCTTAGTCCGCTAAGAATAAACGGGCAGTATTCTAAGATAGGTCGGACACATACTTTGTATAATAAAACCCTAGTTTCACAACAAAAGAAATTGCGTGTTATGCATCCTATCAGCCTACGCGTTTTACGTCTGGCATAATCAGTCTGTTCAGCGAACGTTAGGTTACTAGAGTATCTAATACCGAGATCTACGACTGAATTGAGCTTAGCTAGTTTTCGCCCATTTATTTCAAGGTTTAGATCAAGCTTACTGTTGCCGATACAAATCCAGCCGCATTTGTCAATGTTAAAATTTAGGCAGGATTCAGCACACCACGTTGCAAGGCTACTTAGTTCAAGATGTATTTTATCTACCATATCGCTTAATTCATGAGTGTAGCAGGAGTAGACGACTTTGAGGTCGTCAGCATATAGGAATGGTTTACCTGAGGTGAAGCACTTGCAAATGCTGTTAATGTAAACTGTGAATAAAAGTGGACCTAGGACACTACCTTGCACGACCCCACTTGAGATCTGCCTAGGATGAGACAATACAGATCCAACTTTGGTTATTTGTACCCTGTTGCTTAGAAATGATTTTAACCAGTTCAGTAATGGGTTGCGAATTCCACAAGAGTACAGCTTCTCAAAGAGAATACTGTGAGATACCATGTCAAATGCCCTAGATATATCGAAGTATAGAACAACGACTAGCTTACGTGCTTCGCGATTACTAGTGATGCAGTTGAAAAAGTCGAAGTGGCAAGTAACGCAGGATCTATTTTTGAGAAATCCGTGTTGAGACCTTGTAACAAGATCCTCCCTAATTAGGTAGTCTGACAATTGATCTTTACAACTTTCTCCATGATTCGTGAGATAACTGGGGTTATATTTATGGGTCTGTAATTGCGGACGTTTGCCCTATCACCAGATTTGTAATGTGGAATTATGAAGCTAGTTTTCCACTCACTAGGGTAAGTGCCAGTGTCCATAGATATTGAGAAGAATTTAAGAAGTAACAGGGTATATCACACCCACTGTTTTTGAAAATTATCGAAGCGAGGCCATCCGGTCCCGTACTAGTGGAAGGTTTAAGGCTTTTAATTGCTTGTACTATTAGTTGATTAGTGAACACAATGCTTTCAAGGGAAGAGATAGTAAGGGGAGCGGTTTCACCAGGCATATGTGTTTCTAAACTAAAGTTTGCAAACCAATCACTGAAAGTTCACAGATAGTGGCAGGTTCATTGTAGATTACTTTGTCGTGAAGTAAGTATGGGATTTCCCTCGCTGACTGCATTCGTTTTTTAAGAAGTGCCGTTAAGTTATAAACTTTGGAGGTACTTTCAAGTGCCGTTAACTCTTCGTCGAGGTCCTTTTGAGAACGTAGGCGCTTGATAGATTCAAGAGACTCGTGGATTGAGAGCAATAGTGATATGTCCTTAGTGGAATAGTACTGTTTCTTCAGTTTCCTTAACTTATTACGGTGTGCCCTTGGAATATATTCAGTTCGGTGTCTACTTAATTTCACTATTTTATTTGGAGCAACTGTATCTAGACAAAGGGTAACATTCCTGTAAAACAGGGTTACTAAGGCCTCCAGGGAGTCAGTGGTAAAATAGTCATCCCATTGACAGAGTCGAATAAGTTCTTGGACTAATCCCCAGTCTGTATATTTGTAACTACGACATATTGTGCTTCCTGAGTCTTGTTTGTTTCCTGTATTTAGTGGTGAGAAAGGCAGAGAGCAGAGTACCATTCTATGGTCACTACTGGAAAATCTATTACCAACATAAGTGGATACTGGGATTGTGTCATGACAAAAAACAAGGTCCAAATGTTGTCCCCACGAGTAGGTGTCTGGACGTGTTGTTGCCATCCATAACAGTCTATAGTGGCAAGTAATTCGTCGAAGCGTTGGGGGCCGGAACTAGTTAGCCAATTAACTTCTGGAAGATTGAAGTCCCCTGCAATTATTTTGTAATTAGCACTAAACGAGGATGCATGTGCAAACGATTTAGCTAATAACGCATCAGTTTCTTTTGTTGCGCTTGGTGCTCGATAAACACAGCCTATGAGAAGTTTGTACTTATCTCCATGTAAGACAACCCAGAGTGAGTCAGGTACATTATTCATTGTTTCATCTTCCACCTTACTGACTACAAATGAGTTATGTATATATATGAGACATCCTCCACCACGCTTGCAATCTCTGTTTGCACGGTGTACAGTGTAATCATCGATACCTATATGCACATCAAGTACAGAGGATGAGCACCATGACTCAGTAATCAGAGCTACAGTAGGCTTGGCGACTAATAATAATGTCCTTAGTTCAGATATCTTATTGATTAAGGAGCGTGCATTAATTAGCAATATCGTGAATAAGTCACGGGATACTACAAACTGGCTTAAAATGTCACCATAACCTAAATCTATTTGTGCGTCAGCACCGCAAGAATTTATGAATGAAAAGGAGGTCGGACTGGGTGTCTGCACATCGGAGTTGGTGTGCAATGAGGTGGTCCTAGGTGCCATGGGTCGTACCAGTGATTCAGGACACCTGGAAAATTTACCATGTGTTCCTGGATATAAGGGTAGTACAGGTTGGGCCTAGGTTGGCGGTTAAAAGGCATAGCATCAGAAGGTCTACCCATCCAACTGCTATTCGTCATACCGGTATACACCTTCGGGTTGTTTTTATAACTTAAAGGGAATTGTGAAGGAAGGTGCTTTGGCTGCAAGACTTTAGGAGTCTTGGAGCCTGACTTTCTATAAGGTGGAGCATGCGGAACACCTCCAGATGTACTTATGTTTCGAGAGGAGTTTTTCGTAACAAGTGATGGTTTGTTGGCATTCTTACTCTCAGCAGGCTTATTGAATACAAAGTATTCTTCCCCATCATTAGTCTCAACCCTGCGAAATTTGTTCATCGTGGTGAGGTTACTACGTTTGGGGGGAAATTTCTTAGAACAACTTGCAGAAGTTCTAGTCATTTTAACATCTTTCGATGAGGCTTTGTTTACAGGGGTACTGGTATCTAAATCAGTTCCTAGTTCCATTGGCAGGTGTGGTTGTTGTGTAGTTTGCTGAATGCTAGTTTCAGCACTAGGTGTCTGTTGCTGTGCACGATCCTTATTTGGTAAATCAAAGCTAGAGCTAGAGGAGGTGACCAGGTTATTACTACGCATTATTCTGCGCTGACACGGTGTTTTATCCTGAGCTACGGTTATAGACTTATAACTGCTATTCAGTCTTAAGTGATCCTGACATTTAGTAAACTTACTAGCATCAAGGGAATTACTGAATTTAAAAATGATTGGGCAATTAGCCTGGTTAGACTTTTTACGAAGTCGTTTGCATTCACATGGAACACTAGCCATGCCGCAACAAATCAGGATTTTGTGTCTTACAGTTTTCAGGGGCAGAGAATCTGGGACGTTGTAAACTATAGCTTGGTGAGAAGAGGTTATACGCTTCATCACCTCCGTAGCCAAGCAGTCAATCAGATTTTCAGCTTTATTTAGGTTGTCTGGAGATATTTTAGGATGCCTTTCTAAAAGACAGGCTATTGGGTCTAAATTCAAAAGCTTATTTTGAGTTACATCCAGTAAACACTTAACCTGGCCAATATCAGAACGGCTCTCCGTGGTATTTGAGATTGGCAGTGACATACTATCAAACTGATCTAATTTTTTCTGAATTTCACTTACTTGCCTCTGCATATCTTTCAAAAGGAGGTTTAGTTTACAGAACTCAGAGTTCTCTAACAGAACATCTTTCACCTGTATCACAGGAGTGAGATCTGCACTCAAACCATTTTGAGAGCTAGTAGTTGATACTGTATTACCAGGCGGTAATGCAGTTATAACCGAATTTAAGCCACTATCTAAAACAATTGTGTTTCTACGAACACGTTTTTTAGAGATTTGGACCATAATTTCAAGAATTATATGACAATAAGCAGTAAATAAATTTCAGAGCAAACACGTGCAAAAATGTCACCAATTTCGAACGTACCGCCAAACGACCTCAAAACGTCAGTGAGGGTGTACCAGTCTGACATTTGTCTATATTGAGTGCCAGAGAGTACGTCGTAAGCCCCTCGAAAACTGCCTCCAAATGGATACGGTGAGTCTATTATCTGGATTAGCCACGATAGCATCATCTAGGTTGGCATAAGCGTAATCCGATTAGAACACAACATCGTTGATGAAACGTTGGAACATCTGGTTGGCCTTTCGAAGACCGAAAGGCATTCGAGGGAATTCGAAGATGCCAAACGGAGTGGTCACTGATGTTCTAGGGATACCATAGGGGTGAACTGGAATTTGACGGTAGGCTCTTGTCAATTCAAGTTTGTCAAACACTGTGGCACCCTTGGCAGATGAAGTCAGATGGTGTGTGTGAGACAGGGTAACGATCTGGAACAGTGTGAGCGTCGAGCCTGAGGTAGTCACCGTAAGGTCCCCAGTCCATCCCATTATTCTTGAGGACGAAATATGGGGGTGAAGAACGCGGACTGCAGGATGGTCTGATTATCCTCACCCCTAACATATCTTCAAACTCAACCTTAACGGACTGGAGTTTTCCGAACACGATCACCGTGGTTTTTCAAAAAATGTGGGCCAGTCGTCATGAAGTGATGAGTGAGATTAGGAGTCATGCATGGGATTCCGCGAGCCAGTTCGAAAAGATCAGCAAAAACTGCAGGATGTCAGAATGTGGGCCAGCAGTGGCAGGTGTCAAGTATACTGGGCTTATAAGGGGTTGTATGTGGGACTATCGGAGACTGAAAACTTCATGGATGAATAGATTAGCTTGTATTTGCCAGCATCTTCCAGTCAGTGGTATTGTTGAAAGAGATCTATACCAATGATACCAGTAGTCACACCTACCACCATGAAAACTCAGCAGAATGAGCAACGCAGGCCAAAGTTAAGGTCTAAGGACTTTCTCCCACACGCACTGACAGGTGCACCATTTACAGCGCGAAGCTGTGAAGATGTTGGCAGCAGGTGCTCGTCAGTTGTGGGTGGGATCCTGCTAACCCCTTCCTAAGTGCCTAAAAGGAAGCCTCTCCCAGTGCTACGGTCTGTAACACAGAAGAAGTGACGTTGTCGGTATCATGTTTCGGCTCTTCGCTGCCGAATGTGCAGCAGGATATACTCTTGCATTTGTTGGCACCATAACCTTTATGTTACCAACAA